CTCAAACACCTGCAATCTGTGTTCCTCCCTCTGAGTGAGAGACCATGTTTCGCACCCATACAAAACAACAGGCAAGATTATTGTTTTATATACTTTAATTTTCATGTTCATCTCTTATTATTATTCGAAGACGAACAGCTTTCCCGACTGACGTCACATAACCTCGATGTCAAATGACGTTAATGTTGTTCTTTCCAGATCCTAAACATCGGCGACGTATCCACGTGGATGAACCATGAGATGAGAGAGGATGAAGATGGTTTCGTGACTAGGAGCATCCTCTGCATGCCCATAGTTAATGGGCAAAAGACTGTAATCGGAGTAGCGCAACTAATTAACAAAGTAAGAGTCACATCAGCTGTTTGAACCCACCGATCAACCAGTTCAAAAAGTGCTCCAACAAATGATCTTCATTTTCTCGCCTGTCCACATTCTGACGGTAGCTCAGCGTCGAAATATGACGTCTTTAGAAACACGTCCGTAATTTCAAACACTGTAACCCTTTTCCAATTTCCAACGAGAAAAAAAAACGAAACGCCTAATATTTGTTTGCGGACTGTTCGCCAACATTGTCTTCCGACAATTTTTGTAGTTATGTACTGGGTGTATCAAAATTCGCCATGGAAATAATCTTCGCTTTTCACGATCCCATAATAAAAAAATCCCGATAAACAATGTTAAAGTGAGCTGACATATTCTGAACAAGATATTTCGAGTAATCAAAAAATTCTTCTCGTGAACGTCATAATTTGTGTATAAATTCTCTGTACGATATAAAGTCTTCATTACAGAAATGTAATCTGTGATACAATTTGCGTTATTTAAACTGACTTTTGTATAGTAAGGGACATTTAATCTGCAACAGATAACGTTCGTCTACATCAGCAGTTCAATATTTTGCAGATAAATTCGTAATTTACATTCAGAGTATTTTTTATTTATTCGTTTGTTTGTTCTACTGTTAAGTGACAAAATACTTTTTTAATGTTTTCCCGACATGTCGTACTCCATTTCTCAGAAGCAGCGATATTTTGTTATTTCGAAATGTCACGTTTGAAATGTTAAATCATTTACATTATTTCCTTCCCCGATAGTTCATTGAAGTTCTGAAATAGAACCAACCAACCGTTCAAAGATCAAAGAGTAACACGTGTTCGCATTGTTTAAGCAAAACTAGAAAGCAGGAACCAACCGTGGTAAATTTCTATCATCCGAGGTGAGTGACGCAGTTTGGGAAATTCATTTCCTCCTGCCATGAGCGAAACCCAATAAATATCAAACGTTATCCTACGTTACAACACAGAAACTGAAAAAGTTCTGAGCTAATCTGTTATTGTAACTTTCTTTTCCAGGGAAATGGACATCCATTTTCAGACTGCGATGTATCGATATTCGAAGCCTTTGCGATATTCTGTGGCCTAGGAATCCACAACACCCAAATGTATGAAAATGCTTGTAAGTGTCACGTTTACATGCGATTGGCGTTCCACAAGAAGTGGTTATTATATTTATTATTAGTGTTCTGTCTGACGACAGGTCCATATGAATAGGATCCTTCCATCCTTTTCTCGGACTGGGACCTGTTCATATACGTTCTTGGCAGATGATCCAGAAGTGGTTTGCCATTGCCTTCTTCTGTGTGTGAATGGAGTAATTGTTGGGATGCCACGGAGGAAAACTCCGTGTTGCCTAGACCACGGCCTTGCCCAACACAAGTTATAAATTCGGGCACCGCCGGGAATCGAACCCGAGACCCCAGGATTACAAGGCAGCGTTCTAACCGCTAGACCTCCGTGGCAATAAGAATAAGTGGTTACGATAATTAAATTAGCCCATGGTCGAATAATTCAAATTTCGCTGGATCTATAAACTGACGCGCGGTTGTTTAATCGTCAGTTGTCATAACTGTACAATTTAAACCCCCGCCAGACATCTGACAACACAGAAATCATAAATTCCAAATTCACACCCTAATATCACCCGCGTTACTTCTGCACAACAGTCCCTAGAACATCCTGTAGATTTTCCTTCCATTCTCATCTAAATATCAATACGAAAGCAACAAAGCCTGCTCGAATTTACGCGGGGACGCTCTAACGATTAGATCACACATAAAACTGCTGGTGAGACACGACAGTTTTATTATGACACGCCACTATTTTGTTTTAAATTCAAAATCCACCACTTTTAACTGTTCTGTCCTTTAATTTTAAATTATTACTGTGTCATACTTTTATATTTATATAAATATCTTTAATGTCTATTTCAGAAAATCAGAATTCAAGTGTTTGATCAGTGGTGACCAACCCGCGGGCCGCGGGCCGCATGTGGCCCGCCTTGAACATTTTTCCGGCCCGCGAGATTCATCACACTTTTACAAAATATATTTATTTTATAATGGCCAAAGTAGTATTATTATATTATCTATGTTTACATGTAAGAATAATAGTAAACACAATAATAATAACTCATTATGTTTCAATTTTTCACTCCAAAAAAATGTCTACGGTGTATCTAAATCTAATATGGGGATATATAATTTTATATGTGGCCCGCGGAGTTATGATGCATTTCCAAAGTGGCCCGAAAGATCATTTGGGTTGGCCACCCCTGTGTTTGATAATAATGTAGTGACACGAGAAAATGAAGTAACGGCCTCAATAACTGGCAATATCTCAGATTTATCTTGACTCTTCCCAGGTAAGCTGATGGCGAAACAGAAGGTCGCTTTGGAGTGTCTGTCCTATCACGCGACGGCTTCCTCCGACGACACCTTGAAGCTAAGCCAAGACGCCATCCCATCCGCCGAGACCTACAACCTCTACAGGTAAGAGGAAATTGTTTAACACCCTGTATCCGGTCCGAGACCCGAAACTTTTACAAACTGCATTCAGTAATCTTAACAAAAAATATATTGAAAACGTCAAGAATTTACATAAAAGTTTAAATAAACGAATCCACAGCTCTTAACAACACGACTAGCCATTATTATATTGTTATTAAGGCTATAATGCGATTTGCAGAAGGCCTATAAACACATTTGTCGTACTCAAAACGCTGTATAATTATTACCGAAGACATTAAAACAGTTTACAGTTCCTCATAAACAATATTTAATTACGCGCGGAACTCTGAACATTTAAACTCAACGGCAATATTAATTTGTATTTTATTCTACGACAATTACAGCCAAAAGCTGAATTACGCGTGCAATTTCAAACATAATTTTATCGTAAAATATACAGCCGATAAAGACTATAATAAACTTGGATAGGGTGTCGTAAAATAATCTTGAAGTTAACCAAAATCGATGGACCGATGTACCCTGATAATTGTTAAACATAAATAACGTCTATTTCGCGTTGGAGTATCGTAAAAACAGTTCTATTTAGCGAAATACTTTTAGCGTTCCTTCTGGCGTCATTCTTAAAATTAATTTAAATCAACTTCTTACGTCATCCTCATATATCCATAAATCGTCCTACACTTTCTCGATTAAATGAGTCCAATCCATGGAACTGAGTCCTTCTTGAGAATCTAACAATATACTAAGCTAGTGAAGAAATTACCCGCTTTCATGGAACCACAAAGTTCATTACCGTGTTCACAAAACCCTGAGTTAGATGAATCCTTTCCTGACCCCCAAACCATTCTGCCCTAAGATCCATTTTAATGTGTGCAGAATTTTTTGTGAATATTTAAAAGGACAGAATAAAAAGTTCGAAGTCTGTGTAGTATGACAGCTTTGTAACAATAATCTTCTCAGACGAATTACTTTATTTCATTCAGTTAACTCCGGCCCAACAGTATTTTCGTGGTGAGAAAAAAAATTGGTATCCGAAATAGTAAATTTACGTATTAACGCCTATAAATTTATGCGATAAATTAACAACAATTATAAAGAAATTAATAATCACAAATAAACGTAATTTCTGGCTCTATTATATTGTACAAAGTTTTGCAACAATATATGCATAGGTCAGTGTCAAAAACTGAATTTAGTTCCATAATTAATTTCGTTTGCAGTCTATTCAGGTTTTAAGGGCAACATTCATTAGCTAATTAAGTTGAATTCTCATTTCAGAGTTGGCGTCTGTGTAAAATTATATATATATAAATATATATCGATTTCTATCACCAATAACTACACATTATGGGTCACGAAGCGTAGGAAACAGTAAAGAACCCCTTTAAAAAGTGAACTTTCTTCTCGTATACTTGCAGAAAGTCAAATTAAGCTGTAAGTAAAGTGAGAAGTTATTTAGCATTAAAGCAGGCGGTACAAATATTTACCACCGTGCTCTAAAGAGTTACGATATTGCATCTCCATTAGCAAAAAACGTCCTTCCCTAAGGAGCGATTTTATGAATTTCCAAAAATAGTGTCACTGACGCAAATCTGCTAATCGATAAACTCAACGGCAAGGAGAAAAAAAAAATTAATGCATTGTAAAGCTGTCTACGTATGTCGGGAAGAAGATTGCGAAGGAAGAATATTTTTTCAGAAAAAAAAATGTAGCTTAGCATCACCATAAATAAACGTCTATGAGAATTATACCGATCACCGTTTCAACCAATCGAATGGCGCTACGTGGTGGAGTGTATTCGTCCGTCGCTTATTTCATCAAGGTTAGAAGACCGGTTAATCCTGCGTCAATTATTTTTAGCAGAACAGTGGTCAAACACATTTAAACACGTCACGACTCCTTGTCATCGTTTACAACCATGATTTGTGTTCTCATCTGACGTAACATAACCACTCTCTTACACAAAGTGTTGTTAAATAAACTAAGAAACAAAATCACAAATATATTACAGGCTTACAATTCCCATTATCTGTGTTACATTTAACCCTTCTGACGCCAAAACTGGTCTAAATAATATTTAATAATTCAGTCCGTACCTCGAAGAAAACACGACACTTCACCATTACGAAGATCAAATAGTTAACGCTGTTTAAGGAAATAATGGACATTTATTCTGATAATTAACCCTTTGAAGCCGAAGCTCGTCTAAGTAACATTTAATATAATTCAGTCCGTACCGCGAAGAAAACACGACACTTCACCATTACGAAGATCAACCGGTTAACGCTGTTTAAGGAAATAATGGAGATTTATTATGATAATTAACCATTTGAAGCCGAAGCTCGTCTAAGTAACATTTAATATAATTCAGTCCGTACCGCGAAGAAAACACGACACTTCACCATTACGAAGATCAAATAGTTAACGCTGTTTAAGAAAATAATCGCTGTTTGCACTGAGAATCATACGAAACTCATAAATACAAAACGCAACATTTATTAATTGTTGGAAGGAGGGGGCCATCAAATCGTGGCTGAACTAAATATGAAAAATTTAGGCTTACGTTTTTTTTTTCGGCGGAAGGCCTTGACGTGTTCAGACTTAGGGCTATTAACACTGCTGGGAGCTGAACCTACCAGGAAACACGTCATTTACGAAAGGGACTTTGGTTGGACTTACGTCTAGGAGTTGAAGCCATAATTTTCAGCATCGCTTTCGTTGAAGGCCTCTGCGACTTTTTTGTCAGGGTGGGGGAGGGGAGGAAATAACTTCGGTCGAAGGCTTCCATGATTAGGGTAGACGGGGCATGCATTTGCCTTACAGCTGAGAAAGAAAAATTAAATTTTACACTTACTTTTTCCGTGTATCCTCGCTGTAGGAAAACCCTCGGACGGGCACCGGGAACCTTTCAGCCACTGACAGTCCATATCACTTGCACATCACGTTAAAAACACCAATTAATTAATCACTCACACTAAGAAAACGCACTTCACAAAGCACACGGTTTAGAGGGAATAATTAAACTTCTCTCAAAATTAAATTCACTTGCAGAATTTGACCACTCACATTAAGAAATATACATAATCTTCCTCAAAAATACGCACAGTTTAATACACAGCGATTTTAAAACAAACGAGAACTTTAAACGTGCCAGTTAAGACATCTGCCTGCGTCTAATACATGTTTACCACCCCAAATAAAATGTCACGACCTGGTTTGACCACTGTTTTTCTCAAACTTTCCGACAGTGGAACAACATCCTCTTAACAGTTCAGGTATCTAAAGAAGATTTCGTTATTTTCTTAAGTCTTTCCAAGGATAGAACGCTAAAATATAAAACTACAGTTCCCTACCGAATCCTTACCTATTAATTATTAGCGAGACGTAATAAATACGGTTTTATGTTCAGTAATGCAAACGATAAGATAGAGAATCCTAAACAGTGTTACCAACGCAACGGTTAAAATTTAGGACGTACAAGTGTGAAGGGGTGTCGGCTATGATCCTTTTCAACGTTATTATGCCACAGAAAAGTATTTATATTATATTCCTCAAGTTTCAGTGGTCTAGTGGCGAACCGGATTGATTGATAGCCAGTGCCGTCACCGCCCCCACGAGGTTTGCGATGACCCTGACAAAGCAGAACATTTTAATGACCTTGGTTATAAGTTATGGGCTCCATCTTCGACCCAGAATGTGTCACGTAGCTTTTTATCTCACGGCACACAAAATCATACATTAATGTTCTACGGTTTCGTGTAGGCCTAAATATGTCTCACATACATTAATACGAATACGTTGTTTTCTTTTAATATCTAGTAGAGGTTTTTATCTATGTGATGTTGTGACCTTCATTTCGAGCCTGAATTTCATACAAAATATGACACCAATGTAACTTAATTTATTGTACTTATAAAACTGTAATAACGATGCTGAAGTGAACAAGAAACGTCCTTGATTAGTACAGCAGAACTGCTCTTGGAAACCATTGGCTAAACTTTCAAAATTCATCACACGTAAATTTTCATACCACTTCAAGATAATTTTATAAAAATATTTTAAATGTATTAGGTGAGTACGGATTTTTAAGATTTTCAGAACAAAACGTTCCACATTGTGCAATTCCAAATATTTCTTACCAGAAATTTATATCTAAAAAATTTCTTTTAGCAGCGAGAGAGATGCCAGATTTCATCTTCTGCTCAAAATAAAATATACCATTACAATAAAGACATTTCAATATTTAGCTTTTTTTGTTAAAAGAAACGGGAAAACATAAGATTCTTTTCAGAATTGTAGAATGAACAGTGTCCTCACTAAATTAACCTCACTAAGATAACCTCAAAACAAGAAATATAACCTGCCCCATCTTAATCCACCTGAAGACCACGCAATCAGCTACAGTTTTTATATTTTAAAACATACGATGACGTCATAGTGAACAGTGCGTTCGCCTGCAATCGCTCTTCTGTTCCGAAAATAACTTAGCGAACCTTGGATACAACACGTACTGTTCTGGCTGGGGTGGATGTTTATTCATAACACATCACTCCGTGAGAAACTGCTCGCATCATCTTAACTACAGCGACAGGTGGCAGTCTATTCCAGCAGTCAAGGAATTGCTAGCTGTGCTGCTGTTCCATGAATCGTACACTCCCCCCTGTATGACAGCAACATCTTTACAGATTTAAGTTTTAATTAAGTATCAGAAGTAAAAGTTATTGTTGTGTGTCATTCACAAAACTACTGATAAAATTTAAATTCAGTTTTAAGTGTTTAGTTTAAAGTACAAAGGCTATTTTTAAGATTATTAATGACGAAACAAAACACATCGACAACACAACACCGGTAAACCAGCCGCCATGATTGCAAAACAGATAACATTTCAAGCTTTTGCATGAAAGCAATATTTACGTGAAATACAGCCAGATTAGTTCTAGACTACTTGTAGTCCATTGTTTATGTATGTTTTTTTTATAATACCCATTTGTTGTACAGAGAAATCACGTAAACAAAATGAAATGAATATTTTAATAAAAGCGTATTATTGCTGGCCAAATACTGCAATGAGGTAAAACGCCATTTTACGTAACAAATTATTTAACACACATTTCTTCCAAAATCTTGTCGAATACATTTAAATACCATAACGAATTAATATTAAAAGTTATGTTACCTCATCTTTCAATAACATTTGCTGATTATAACTTCTGTTATCACTTATAAAAACAAGTTTTTCGAAGACTTCAGCAGATGCCTAACTGGTCTGACCGGGACCTCGCTGGAAATGACGTATGCAGCAGTAGGAACCGTTCCATGGTGACTTAAACTGTCTAGTTATGGTCATTCATATCGAATAGCATTCACCGGAACTAGCAGCGCCACCGATGATAAGAATCTAAAAGATAAAGCAATTCCTTATCGGATTTAATTATTTGTACATTTTTTACCTTAAAACTAAAACTGTATACATTTAATACATGTTTATCCTTTCACAGTACCATTTCTTTGTCATTACAGTAGATGTTTACATACCTAATGCATATCTCACTCCTTTAAGCGTGTTTCATAATTACTTGATTAATTTAGCGCGTCTCATAATCTATATTTTTGGGCTCAAATTAAAATGTTGTGGATCTGATAGATTTTTATATATTCGTAATGACATGAGCTTGCAACTTTTGTTGAAAATATTCCTTCAGAAAATATTCAAGAAAATAAAGTGGAAATGAAATTGAATGTTAAACATCAGCATCTGATCTATGCTGAAGATGTTGACATCTTGGGCCTAAAAGTAAATGTCAACAGACCACATGACGAAATCATTATATCACGAGGTAGCTAATAAATCCTGATTCGGAGGTTCTTGCTGCCTCCATCATCAGGGCGATGAAACGTCCAACCAGACCGTACAAAGCTACAACTACACTCACAACCGTGAAAAACCACAAATTCTACTAATCGTTCTTGTAGTTTTATTTATTCTGTGGTGTTGCAGTTTTACCTTCATCGACTTCGATCTGACGGACGAGGACACGTGTCGAGCTACGGTCCGGATGTTCCTGCAGTGCAATCTCGTCAATCAGTTCCATATTCCGTACGACGTAAGTGACCGATATCAGATTTAGGCCTACATATAAGCTAACCTAACCTAACCTAATCTAACCTAACCTAACCTAACCTAACCTAAACTAACCTAACCTAATCTAAACTAACCTAACCTAACCTAACCTAACCTAACCTAAACTAACCTAACCTAACCTAAACTCACAATTTGGTATTTGTTTTAGGAACGCGTTCTATTTAACGTGTGCTACTGTTCCGATCGAAATCACTTTTAAGAATTACGTAAACATCCATTGTCAATATTTTGTAGGCAGATGCATTGAACCTGCTTTAATAGTCAGTAAGACTCAATTTTGCCCACACAAAGTTCATTTACGTATTTTAAATAAATATCTCATCACTTTCTTAAATCAGCACTAACAAGTTGACACTTTTGTAATGGTGAAGAGTTGTGTTTTCCTTGCGGTACGGACTGAATTATTAAATATCATTTAACCCAGTTCCTAGTTGCTACTCATAATCCCTTCCCGATTTAAAGTCATCAAAATTTAACCTCTTAGGACACTAAATTACTTATTTAACATTCCAAATTATAACTTAAACATTCACTAACAAGAACATTAAAATTTCGCAGCCTCTGTTAACAAGTTGTCACTAATAATCACCCTATTCTATCCTTAACCAAAAGGACGAGCGGGCATTGCCTGGGAACCTTCTAACTAGAAGATAATCTTTCTCCCCTCAGAAATAAAGTGTCTCTCAATTCTCCCCTATAATGTTCTTTGTTTCTACTCCCCTTGTTCGGCTTCAGAATACGAAGATCCCAGTATCTGTCTCATCTGTCTTCGTATTAACACTCTGTTGTCGACCTTGGTCTTTCAGGTGCTGTGCCGGTGGATTCTGAGCGTAAAGAAAAACTACCGTCCTGTAAAGTACCACAACTGGAGACACGCGCTCAACGTGGCCCAGACCATGTTTGCCATGCTCAAGACCGGCAAGATGGAACGCTTTATGACCGACCTAGAGGTAACCTTCGAGTCGTTGATCCATAGCAAGATGAACCAAGCTTAAATTGAGACTCACGTAAGAAACATCGTAAAAGGAAATCCTCCGGGCCCGGAATTTTGTCGGCACTATCGATTGTCGAGTTTTCGAGTCGAGACGTTACAGGGCGAGTCTATGCAGTCTGAAGACCGCGTCGGGAGCTACCTCGGGTCCTAACGGCATCTCCCTCCCACCCCCCACCCCCGTAGCCGAGGCACTCAGTTCTTGCCGCAACTGTTATGTTTCTTGAGTTTTACGAAGCATTTATACAATTTAATCGAATAGAATGCTAGATAAAGGATTCAAACAAATTTTGGTTGGAGACCTTTAGTTGGGAGACCTCGACGTAAATAAAAACACAATATTTATCCCTTTGTTTCAAAATAAAAAAAACCTTATTTAATTAATTATAGAATTTCGTAATGTGGCCATAGATATAATGTAGTTTCTGATATTCTTTACTGCAATGGAACTCAGTCTTTCGTGGCGGCTCTGCAAACGTCTGAGATGGAATCGATATTAGAGCCACTTAAAACAGGGTCATGAAATTCAAAACACAGATAGTTGTCTACCATACGATGGAACAACATGCAACATTTGTTGAGGTAATCTCTCTGTACGCTTAAGTATAAGAAAACAATATGGCGACCGCGCGAAATTTACATTTCCCTTCAGGTTTCACGTTGATTAAAACTAATCATATTTTTTTTAATATTTTAATATTTTCCGTCAAATCACAATTTTAATAAGATTATAAAATATATAAAATATTTAAAATATCATTTCACGTTCGGCATCGAATGCTCGATTTACAAATTGGAACGTTTCTCTTACGACATGTTTCGGTT